ATGTTGCATGAGATAATAAATACAGAAAAAGTGAATCGAATCAACTAAAGAGAAGAAAGAGAAAGAAAATTAATGGATCCCACCTAGGGGTATAAATGGGCTGGGCTAGGCTAGGATTTGGCTTAAATAGGTAAGACTTGTGTGAAATGCATTAGGTATGGCCTGACCTATTAGTTTGTATAGGCCCCAAATTACAAGTCTGACCTGACCTATATTTAAAAAATAAAAGCTTTGGCCTTGGCCTGTTAGCTTGTTTAAGTCTATTGAACATTCAACAATTAAAAGAATAACTAAAAAAATATTATTGTATTATTCAAAATTATTAAAATAATATTTTTTATTGATTATATTTTAAATAAATAATATGATATAGGCCAGCATGTAGGCTTATAAGCCAGACATGTACAAAAAGCCTATGGCCTATTTTCTAAATAGATATTTTTAAAAGACTAGGTCTGTTCTATTTTACTATTTATAATAGGCCAAGTCTGCCCTAATATAGGCTAGGCCATAGGTCCCTGTAGGCCGACCTAGCCCATTTACACCCCTAATCTCACCTACTTTTATATATATACATGAAATAAAATTATCTCATGCAACATGAAAAACATAACTTTCATAAAAATATTGAATATACTGGAAAGATAAAAAAGAAGTAAACTTATAGAAAATAGACCTAAACATAATAAAATTAGTTTTGTTTTCCAGTCAATCTAAAATATATTTGATGTCTATGTAGATATCAGTATAAAATAATTAAATAAGATAAGATAAGAATAATTCCACAACAAAAAAGATAAAATAAAATAAGAATAATTAAATTAGAATTTGAAAATTGGATAAAACTAGACTTAAACACGATTAAATTGGTTTTGTTTTCTACCCAATCTCAAATAGACTAGATCCCTATCTAAATATATAAAAATTAAATAAGATGAGAATAATATAATTAGAATTAAAATTTGGATACAAAGTAAATGTAAACATGATAAAATTTATTTTATTTTCTAATCAATCCTAATTATATTCGATATTTATCTAAATATCAATATCAATATATAATAAATAAAATTGATTTTATTTTGTAATCAATCTAATTGATTTGATTATCATTATTTATATGTTATATTGTATTGTGATTTATGTAGTCTGATTTATATATTTTGAGTAATTTTATTCAATTATATAATTTTTTTAATTATGAATTTTGAAATACATGGAATTTTAGCCCCGGCACAAAAATATTTGGCACGGGAAGCATATCAAGTGATACGTTAATGTAAGAACAAGAGATTGTGCATTCGATCTTAAATTTGACAACTGTAATTTATTAAAAAATAATAATTAATTAATTGATGTAACATAATAAATTATAATTAGCAAATGCATGTAGATTAATGACCAAAATTAATAGTAATTTTTTTTTTATTATAAAGTAACTTTTTTTATTTTATTTTTTTGAAAATATAAGCCCTAATCAAACTGCAATGTTTTCATAGGTGATGAATTTGAAACAGTAATCAACGTGCCATTTTTTGCTAAATTTTTATCTAAATGCCTTGTGTCATAATTCGCTACCACTGGTAGCGAATTTCGTAGTCAATAATTTCGTGACACGTGTCCATATTGCAGATCAAATTCGCTACTACTGATAACGAATTATGACACGTCAACCTTTTCTTGTAAAAGTGTGCCACGTGTCATAAAATCATTGGTGAACATAATTCGCTATCAGTCGTAGAGAATTATGCCCACGTGGAAGTCTAGTAAAAAGTAGAGGTGTGCAAAAAAACTGATTCACTTGTCCTGCCCTTGATCTGACCTTGACCTGACCCATAAATACCTATTTTTTTGAATTGGTTTAAATATTGATCCACTTTTATGTGGGTCAGTTTTAGACCTGACTTATTTTAATAATGACACATTGACCCAAAACTTGACCCATACCTATTATGTGAAAAAATAGAAAAAAAAAATCACAATTACATTAATAGAAAAGTTTTAACGTAAAACAATTACGTCAAAAATTTTCATCAAAATTTTTTGCAAAAGATTTTGACGAAAAATATTTTCATCAAAATTTGAGACTAAAAACATTTTTGTAAAAAAATTTGACGAAAATTTTTTTTGGTCAAATTTTTTTACGGAATCTAAATTTCGTCAAAATATTTCACAAAAAAACATATTCGTCCAAAATTTCGACGAAACACATTTCCATAGAAATTTTTTGACGGAAAAAAATTTCATCAAAATTCTTTACAGAATCCAAATTTCGGCAAAAGTTTTCGACGGAAACATTTTCGTTAAACTTTTTGACAAAAATAAAATTTTCGTCGAAATTTTTAGCGAAACACATTTCCATCGAAAATTTTCGACTAAATATTTTAGTCAAGTTTTTTGATAAAAAATATTTCCATCAAAATTTTCAACGAAACACATTTCTGTCAAAAAATTTCGTAAAATTTTTTGACAAAAAATATTTCGATAAAAAATTTGACAAAAAAAAATTCTGTCAAAAATTCTTTAGAGAATCTAAATTTCGTCAAAAGTTTCGAATGAAATATTTCCCTCAAAATAATTTCCGTCGAAATTTTCGTCAGAACACATTCCCATCGAAATTTTGAACAAAAAACATTCCGTCAAAATTTTTGACTGAATCCTTTTTTTATTTAAAACATTTGATGGAGAAAATTATTTTCGTCAAAACTTTTGACGGAAACTAAATTTCGTTAGAAAATTTATTTTTGTAAAAATTGTCCTTAGAGAAAAAAATTTCGTCGCTTTTCGACAAAAAGTATTCCAATGAAAAAATATTTTTGTGACAAAATTTTGGTCGTTTGCATCGTAGAAATTTCGACGAAATTTTGTGACGAAACCAAGTCAAAAACGGGTCAGGTCAAATTTGACCTACTTCAGAAACCAAATCAGACTCACTTCAAAAACCAAGTCAGGTCAGATCCGACTCGGTTCTGAACTAGTTCAAAAAATCCAAACCAAGTTAGACCTGACTTGGATCAAATTAAAACGGGTCAGGTCAAAATACCTGACTTACAAAAACCAAGTTGGGTCGAGTCGGCACAAAAACCTGACCAAAATTTGCCAAAAAATGACATTTAGATCACTGTTGCTGATTGATTTAGCCATAGAAAAATATTCGTTGCTATATTTTGTTTTTTTATTACTAATAATATTTCTTTGATTTATCAGCGGAATTTGTGGTAGAAATGTGGAGATGGATATGTTTTCGTCGTTACTTTCTATCTCAGAACACAATTATCAAAACTGTTTGTTTTTATCTGTGACTTATAGACAAACTTTGTGCCCAATAATTTAGCAATTGATAATTTTGACTCTAATTCTATCGCTAAATAAGAAAATGAAATTTTTATTGCTAAATAAGTTATTATTAGAAATATATTTATTTTCGTCGCCAATTTCTATCAATTTATTTTTGGTCAATGATGAACATTTGTGTACCAAAATTATGACTCATTTCACTAATTTTTATAAGATTCTTGACATATTTTAACTTGTAAAAATAGTGCATCAAATAAAAATAATTCAATAAACTAAGAGAATATATTAAGTTTACTGAGAACATAAACAAAAGAAAGTATAGAACTTAGTTATCTGCAGGCTCATGTTGGGTCTAGTTAAGAGTTACCAAATATGCATGTGCAACCCACCATTTTATACAAATTATGTGAGTTATTGTTTTAGGCATTGACCTAAATTAAGGACTCTGCCTATGTTGTTTGCTCAAAAGAAAACAAATGAAAAAAAAGGATGAAAGAAAGAAAGAAAAAACAATTTTAAAAACAAGATTCCTTGTCGAGTTAAACAACAAATTAACATAATATGCATGTATGCATACTATATTAACTATTTTACTTTTCTTATCTATTACCAAACATTAATTATCTCATGTAAAATGATGCCACCTTAGACTGACTATTTTTAATTTTCTTATTCAAAAATTTTAAAATCTTAATTGACTAAAATATTTAAGGAGGAGGCTATACTTACTATCTTTTTTTCTTACTATCAAATTTTAACCTTTGATTTTTGTCAATTTAACGGTTATAATATATTGGGTCACACTTATTAATTAATTATTAAATTTCAATAAATTATAACCGTTCGATTGACGAAAATCAATGGTTAATATTTAGTAGTAAGAGGTGGTAAGAAAAAAAGAAGTAAGTATAACATTTCCCAATATTTAATACATAAATTAGCAATTACATAATTATAAACTGATTTAAAATAAATATATTAACATTTTTAAATTTTCTATACACGCAGAGATTATATTTGACTTTTACTTAATTTTCTAAGGATGTATTTGAGAGATAAAAGGGAAAGAAAAGGACACGGGAGAAGAAAATAAAGAGTAATCTTTCACAAATAGAAGAAAATCGGAGTTAGTCAAATTAAATTGACTAATTATGATATAAATTTATTATTTAATCCTTAAAACTAATGTGATATGCCTTTTCATATTTTTTAAATTTTTAGAAAGGTAACCATAAGCTTTTCCTTTTCCTCCTAAAATTTCCATACAAACAAACCACAAGATCGTTTAGTAAGTATTATTAATTTTCAAAAAAAGAAGAAGATCAGTAACGGTTATTTAATTATCTTAAGATAAATACACAAAATTAACCCAATCCACATTACGCTATTGTTTTTAAAATCTTTTAAACCCTCTGTTTTATCTATTATCACTTAAAGGAAAAATGTTTGTAATTTTAAATAACATAAAGTTATATCATTTTAAAAAAGAGATAGACACAAAATAAATTTTTTTATTTAAAATTTAAATTAAAAAAATCACTTACTTTTTCTACTACAATTTTTTACTCTTTATGATTATCTCTCTCATAAAATATGTCAATCACGAACATAAAACCCTTATCACTTATCTTTTTTACACTCTGGCTCTTAAATGCATACACACACTTGACTCAACCAATGTTTTCTGTAAGGTCAATTCCTTTCTTGGTTCCTTTTTGACTCTCTCTCTCTCTCTCTCTCTCTCTCTCTGGGTGTTTCACACACACACACTACTCTTTTCTTCTATAAAACCAAGGGTTCTTTTAAAGTTTCCCTCAATCTCTGCCTTTTATTCTGTGTCATTATTCTTCCCTAATTAAGCTTCTATCCATTTGTCTTCGGTTAGAGAAACTCCAAACGGCTTCCCTTATGGCTGACGCCAAAGATTCCTCCATGGTGGATTCAAACGCCCCAAACTCATCAATCTCACATCACAACACTTTCTTCATGACTCACAGCAACATCCTCAGAATCCTAGCCATTGCTCTTTCAGCAGCTTCAATCGCCGTCACAACCACCAACAAAGAAACCGTTGTCCTCTTCACCATGCTCTTCGATGCCCGCTTTTATTACTCATCATCCCTCAAGTAAGACTCCATCTTTCTGAATTTTTTTTTTTTTTTTTTTTTTAAAATTTTTTTTAAATTTTTCCATCGAAAAAAAAGATGATCCTCGAGCAATCCTGCATACAAGGATCATCCTAATCTCATACTGGGGTAATCGAGATTTAATGGGCAGTGATTTGGTTTAGTTTGATTTTTAAATTTTTATGTATCCAAAAGTTTTTTAATTTTTTTTTTCTGAATTATTGGAAAATGATTAATATGGTTCATCTTGTGGCTCAAATTTATTACTATAATAATTGGGGAAATGATTTATGCTTAAAGCAGAAACCGTTTGTTTGCAACATAGATAAAAAATGGAGAGAGAGAATTCGACCCCACTCCATTTTTTCTCTTATTTGCAGCGGACACAAAGTTTCTTACTTTAAAGAAGAAATCATTTTTCCATATTAGAAAATTATTTCTGCATTGCTGCAAAAGTGTTTATCCGCCATATACTATATACTACATGAGAGATAAACATTTTTGTGACCCGCTATTTTTTTTTTGTGAGAGTAACAGATGCAGAAAAATTAATCCCATAATTATAGGTTGAATATACTTATTATTTTCATATATATATAATTTATTTATTTATTTATTTTCAATTTCCTCCTCTGTTTTCCTGATGCTACAGATTTTTTGTTGCTGCAAATGCGGTGGTCTGTGCCTTGTCTGTGGTGACACTGATAATGAACTTTCTGCTGGGAAAACAAGCATCACAGCGAAAAGAATACTATTTATTCCTATTTATTCATGATATAGTAAGCTTAATCCTTTTCTTCGTCCATCAATGCCCAGAGAATCTGTCTTGGAATAAAATATATATTTTTTAAACTAAATAAAGATTAACAGTAAATTAATTTATTTTGTTATTGTTTTATATTGCAGTTGATGACGGTGTTGTTGATGGCTGGATGTGCAGCAGCAACAGCCATAGGATACGTGGGACAATTTGGAGAGGATCATATGGGATGGCTGCCAATGTGTGACCATGTGCGCAAGTTCTGCACAACAAACTTGATTTCTGTTGTGCTTTCTTATTTGGCCTTCTTTGCATATTTGGGACTCAATATTTTAACTGCACACAGGTGCATTTCATTTGCGCCTAAGAATTAATCATATAGATAGATACCATGAGTCATGTCATGTCTGACCAAACAGGCTCTACTAGATTATAAAGAATATTATATAATCTAGTTGAGGTTTTATTTCATGTTATGTATCTATCTGTTGCTGAAATTTCAGTTTCGTCTATGGTTTTATTATCATTACTACAACAGCGCGCGGTATAGGAAAACATATTTACAACTCATAATGGTGATTTATGACTTGCTTTTAATAAAATGTCGTCTTGCAAACACATTTTCATATGGCTTCTCACTTTATTTATTACCATAGTTATTGGTCTTCAATGTGCAAGTTTTATGGATAATATGTTTTGACTTTTTTTCTGCGGAGTTTCGGATAGTATGCTTGTGTTTTAGATGTTTAGTTTTGCTAACGTCTTATAAGTTATTTAATTATTAAATATAAATTGGGTTTGGTGTTTCTTCTCTTATGCAAGATTAAAAGATAAATTTATATGTATTCAAAGCGCTTCTATTTTTTTTTTTAAACACTAGTGGGGCCCGCAGAATTTGTCTCTGTAACAGGAAAAGTCACTTCTCCTATTATACGAAAAATGCATTTCCCTTCAAAAAATTAAAAATAAATAAAGTTATCTTCTTCTTTTTTGGTTTATTTGAATTAAAGGAGATAATTGTTTTTTTGGTAAAAATAATTTTATTTTCTATGAATTGAAGGACAAACTTTATCTCTTTATCTTTGGTGATTTAATATATATTTATAAATATATATATATATATAAATTATATTACGGAAAAAATAAAATTTTAAAACATCCTTTATTTGTTTTTCCTGAATTCGTAAACAACATCGTTTTAGATTATAGGAAATAAATTTATTTTATATAATAAGAGAAATATTTTTTTTTATATAAATTATAAAATATAAAGTATGCGTATTTACCATGTGAAAAACCTAAAAAATATTTAGTATATTTTAAAATTATATAGATAACTTAAAAAAGATACTAATTTCTTTTTAATTTATACTACTTACAAATTTTTAGTCACTTAAAAATAATCAAAATTCATTTGATTTTTCTTTAATCGGAACGGATTCGATTAACTAACTGTTGCTGAGCACTTGCGGAGGGTACAGGGTTGAGAGACGCTGACTGTAGCGGTGGTGTTCCCTTGGCTTTTAGCACACACAGTATAGACGCCAATCCATGACCGTTTCGGGAACCACAATTAATATTTTCTTTTTCTGGTTAATATTATTTTCTAATGTTTGATAGTGAATGACAACCCATTCACATACGTGTCACAGTTTCTTTGTTTAAATTATTTAAATATAACTTTTTTCAAAAAAAAATTCAACCAATTACAAATTAATCATAATTTGAGATGAAAACATACCTACAATGTATAATAATAAACTCTTGTATTATTTAACATATTTGTTTAACAAGAGCACATGTTATGACAATTGGGTGCCAAAGCTTTCAAGCCAATTGGGATATTGATGTTTGACAGGTACTTCAGTGTGATGGAAGGAGTTTTGTTTTTAAAATTTTATGTTTTTTCCTTCTTATTTGAAATTTCACACAAGATTCTTTTAATACTGGGTTAGTTCCATTAATAAGAAATGAAATACTTCGTTTTCGTTATTAGTAATCATTTTAATAAATAATTTGTAGCTATCATAATAAATTTTTACGAGAAAGATTATACTTACAACCTTTTTTTTTTTTACAATCTCTTAGAACCATATCTTAACACCGTTGATTTCTGTCAATCAACGGTTATGATTTTCGCAAATTAAACTTATTAATTAATTATTAATTCATAATAAATGATAACCGTTGATTGATTGACGGAAATCAACAGTGTTAAGATATAGTTGTAAGAGGTTGTAAAAAAAAAGTTGTAAGTATAACCTTCCTCAATTTTTATTTTACTTAGTTAAAACTAATTAATTATTCAAAAGCATCTATTAAACATCGAATTCATTAGCAAAAGAATGTCACGTGTTACTGTGTTAGGCACCGCATAATTCTCCCCTACTTCTTGTCTCGTATAACACAGAACCTACATTTAATTTGGTTGGCCATTTTTGTAGAGATTCAAGAAGATTGTTTGTTCCACTTTTGTTCAACAAAGTTTTTGGGATGAAAACTAACTTCAAATTTTTATTTTTTTTATCTTAGAATAAATTTTATAGTACTTCAACTTCCGAGTTCTGAATTGAGGTAAGAAATTTAGGAGGACCCTCAATCCAGATACAAGAATAAAAGGATTTAGCAAAACAAGTAAAGGTTCTATTTCGATTCGCTAAAAGGGAATATACAGCAAATAAATAAATACTCTAATTAATTGTTAAAATAATATAAATACTAAATAAAAAGCACTTGAGATTTAATCGCCGTTGATTTTCGTCAATTTAACAGTTATAATTTATTGAGAATTAATAATTAATTAATAAGTATAATCTAATAATTTTCAATAAAGTATAACTGTTAGATTGACGGAAATCAACAATGATTAAGTTGGTTGTAAGGGTGGTAAACTTTTTTAGTGGTAAGTATATCCTTCTCCATTGATGAGGAATTGTATAAATCTCTATAATTTTGTTATTCACTAACTTAAGTTATAAAAGAGAAAAACATCAATAATTTCTTTTTTGGTGAGGTATTTATGGAAAAAAAAAATTCGGTGCAGCCTTACTACATCAATAGTTCATTTATCCTAAGATACGTTGTTTTTCTTTTTGTTTCTTTAAGACCATACCCCATGCCATATCATGCATGCTAACCTTCTCTTTTTCGTAGGATGTAACCGAGAAAAATAGCCTGAAATGCAATTCAACCAATTAGAGTGAGAATTTGCGCTGATATTTGAATAATCAGTAACTAGGATGGCATTGAGGGTGTAATTAAGACCATTCTATTTAAGAATAGAGCTCGAGATGATTCCTGATCACAACTACACATGTAGCTTCCAAACTCCTTGTCCCCTTTACATCATTTTTTTTTTCAGATTTGTTTACCATTTAATTAATTATTCAACCAATCCGATTCGAAAAAGATGATATCATGAGGACATCAAAACTCTCTCTACCTATATAGATTTTGGGTTTAATATTTTTATTTTTGTTGCAAAAAAAAAATATTCTGTCACATTCACATAAAAATAAGTGGGTCTCATTATAATGAGACGAGAGAAAAAGATTAATGAAATTTTCAGGAACCCACTTAATTTGTTGTGAATGTGGTTGAAAAACCATTTTTGACAGAAAAACTTTTTCCATAAATTTTGACAGAATTGCATAGTAGGACTAAAGTTCAACACATTTTATGAAGTTGTTATAATAGTTTGTGGTAAATCACACCTCAACTAAAGTTTATGAGGGTTGTTGTACATTTGCCAAAATTATGAAGAGAGGAAAATATTTTTCCATTTTAACATTTGAATTCGTGGGATAAGAATCCCAACCATTATAATAGAACACAAGGCCAACTGAATAAGTTTCTTAGACTTAAATACAATGCCAATTTTGATATCTAATAATTTTCTTATAAATGAATATCAAACATTTATAATACAATCCCTCTTTCCTTTAATTATCAAATAACTAAACTTATGTTACGTTTATTAAAAGAAAAGTATTGAGTTTAATTAATAGCAGCTACAATAGTCAAATGGTCCATTCCACCGTTACATCATTAATCTTGGTGGTTAACAACATACCCTGTCTTGTGTAAGTAAAGGAGGTTAGGATCATTAAATGCTTATAAAGTTTTGATTGCTTCACCTTGGTTACGTAGCTTTGGTCACTTTTTTTGCCAAATGTTTTTATTATGTAACATAACATAAAAACAAATTTTCTACTCTCACAAAAGGAAGAGAGAGGAGAGAGGAGAGAGAATAGGAAAAGGAGAAAAAATTTAAAGTGGGTCCCATATAAAATTTGTGTGTGTAGGATGATGATTTTATGTTATGTAACATAATAAAAATAAAGCCCTTAGTCTTATATTATAAAAGATAGGAAAAAATATTTGTACTTTTAAATGACACAATTTATATCATTTCACTCTCACAAAGAAATGGAACTCACATCTTTATATTTTTTTGTCCATTCTCTCTCCTCCTTTATCTATCTCTTACTCTCACTTAAAATGACACAATTTTACATCTTTTAAAATAATACACAATTTTCCCTAAAAGATAATATCTTTTCTTACTGACTTAAAAAATTGTGAGCTCCATTTTTTTTTTTTTTTCTTTTTTAGTAGGACCGGCTACACGTTTGTCTCTATGGTTGGAGACGTCTTCTTTCTTATGACAAAATTAATAAACCCCTATTTTCATACCCTAAACTAGTTAGTGATATTAATCTGAAAAAAAAAAATAAAAAAAGTTGGTATGTAATGTTATAAAAATTTCAAAATCACGTTTATTAATGTTAGAAAATGCATAGACTATAACATTTTGTCTTATCCAACAAAGGACGAATTACACATATAGCTGACACTCCTTTACGTGTCCTCGAACATTCATTCATACAGTTAGCTAATCCTTTCATGAATTGTTGTTGATGGTAATAGGTGAATATAAATTTCTGACTTAGCTAATCCTTTCATAGACTATAACATTTCTGACTAAACTGTCTTATCCAACAAAGGACGAATTACACATATAGCGACACTACTTTATGTGTCCTCGGAACATTCATTCATATAGTTAACTAATCCTTTCATAAATTGTTGTTGCTGGTGAAAGGGAAATATTGCAAAATCTGAGAAAAAAGTTTCTTGTATAGCTTGAACCAATCAATATTATCAAGGAAATTTGCTAGAAGTTATTTCAACAGCTTGGTCCAATTATTTGTTTGATGATGTTTTGATACAATATATTGTGAAGGAACATGGAAACATCAATTAAAGTCTTCCCAAGACTTGAGTTCTCAATTTCCTTCTCTACACGTAATGAACGCATCTAGTCAAATAAAAAAATGCACTGAAATGAAGAGGAAGGAATGAGTTTATAGTTTAAACTTTTGGTTTAACTGGTTTACAAAGAAAATGATATCATTCATTAAACAAGCAAAAGCACCAAATACAAAAGCATCATCTGATTTTGATCAATAAGTCTATGTCTTACTGTTGATTGTACTGATAAGTTTGTGATTCACTTAGATATTGGAACTTGGGAGTCATAAGGAGAATAATGACCCTGGTATTCTATGGTAATGTTAGCATGTATAAGAGTTTGACAATCAAACAGGTATTGAACTACAAATAGAAAAGAAAGAAGACCGTATAAGTGTATCAATCAGTTGGATTTTCATCATTATCTCTAAGGTGCTCTTTCAATGGCTGTCCTAGAGTTTCCCAGTTTTTACAATCCCATGCTGGATCAATTTCAGGCAGTTCATAATCATCTGGACGTAATGACAATTGGAACTCAGGTAGGTCTGGCAATGCTTGGAGACCCCTGCATCATTAACAAAATTACAATTTTGCATAACTTCTTATTATAAAAAATCACTCTCCAATAAACCTCGAGTAGTGAGAGTAGGCAGGCAAGAAGTCAATCCCTATACGCAGCCTTATATTTGCATATTTGCAATTAGACTGTTTCCTGGATTGAAACTGGTGACTTTTTAGTCACGAAAGAGCAGTTTTATTACTACTCTGGGCACACCCTCTTGCATAACTAACTATTATATTTCAAGGAAATCAGGAAGTTATTTAGAACTTAGAACATCAAATGAGCTAATCCTATAGTTTGAAACAAAGGTAGATCCTTACTTCTCTTGCTCCAAGAGGTAGCCATACATCTGGGACTTCCTAGATGCAACTTCAGGAATTTTCTGATGTAAATGTTTCATAGCACCCCAGAGTGGAGGAGCCCTTGACAGAGAAAAATAAAAATGTAAGATAATGGAATGTGTCAGAAAACAATCTCAGACAAAACCCAAAAGATTTAAACCAACCTTGTCACTGGAGGTGCCAGACAAAAGCTTAAGCAGGCCTTCTTGCTTTCAGCTAAAAGTTCTTCTGCAGCAAGAAAACAAGACACAGCACCAATGTGACTGCTTGGTTCATTACCCTTATCCAGGATCAGACCATGGTAGTAGTAGGCTGCAGCCTGACAACATTACAAATGTTTATCTTAAATGTTTATCTTTTGGTGGGAAGTATATTTTTATTCAATCTTGATGGCATTACTAACCTTGGCTTCAAGGAATTTCCATTTGATGAACCTGAGATGCTTCTTTCCATGCCCTTGGTTGAAGTCACATCCTGACAAGCAATGATAAGCCTGCTCATGAAAGTGAGAAACACTTTTATTCCAGAAATAAAAACCAGCACCATAATTTATAAAACTGGTGTTGTAAGGAAATGTTTGACTTCAGTCAAATAATATATGAAACTAGCTAATGAAGCAAAATGGATTATGGATTGCAGTTATGAAGTTAGTGATGAGTAGATGCTCAAAGGATTGAAATTAAGACCTGACTAAAGTAAATCAACTGTTCACATGCCAACCTCCTCTTCACAGACAAAGATGCCTTCTGACTTTCCACCGCAAGACCAAGCTGAATTTCAGTTCCCTAAATTGTCATCAAGGTGAGCCATTACACCCAATCTGTATACTTGTTTTGCAAGCTATATTGACAACTGGTCAATAGAATCAAAGATGAAGAAAAGGGGCTTTGTGCCATGTTTCTATATGCACTTCATGCATTTTAATAGAATAGCAAAGAAATTGAGAATCATGCTCACAATCCAATTAACTGGAACTGCAAAATATGTATGGAATGCTATTTGATACAATAAGGACAACTTATTGCTATAAAGCTCCCGCTATGAGCAGTATTTTGCATTTGCAAAAGGATGATTACATGAATCGAACCCGTGACTTTCAAGTCACATGGCGATAAACAAGTTCCCTTCATTGCAATGAAATAGACTAGAAGAATTAAATGCTTGCATGAGTGAATCTAGAGAGATTGACCAACTAGTACCTGGCCTAGTGCTTGAATAGCTATAGCCTCCAATACACCCTCTTGCAAGTCATGGGGAAAAACTTTCCTGAATGTTGTTTGAAGTCAATTTCTTAATAGGGTGTTCAATGCTAGTCCAAAACTGGTTTAGTAAAAAAACTATATAGACATACTTGATTTCGGTGGGTAACCGAGTAAGAATATCCCTGACACAGAACTCCAGGTATCCTGATGCCTTGAGTAACAAATCAATTGCTTCCCTCTTGCTATCTGACAGTACAAAAATGCACAATCCCTTATTAGTAATTGTTCAACTTGTTGATTCATGCTTCAATAGTACAATATCTAAAGTCTAAAGCTTATGTATTGGCACAGAACCTGAAGATACAACCCTGAATCCAGATCCTGAAGGGTCCTTTGGAATCATTAGTGAGTCAGCCTCTGATAGTGTCAGCATAGCCATAAGGTGAACTGCAGATAGCACCTCAAACCAGACATTTGCTATACTGCTATCCTGCCAATTGGATTTTACCATGTTAAAGAAACTAAAAAAATCAATGATGAGAAAAAAATATTAAGAATGAGTTTGCTGATGATCATACCTGTTGGCCATCTCCAAAAATTTTCCACTTGAATTCTATTAGTCCCTCAAGACCATGTTCTGTGACATAAGAAAATTACAAACCATTTCAGGAAAGGAGAGAAAATAGAGGGGTTGTGGGGTATGTAATGTGTTAATTTGTGAAACCTTTCTTAGTAAGCCCAATCAGAACAGACAAGTATTCATTCAAAGCTCGCAGCAATTCAGGTATAGCTGATCCACCTGTATGAAATATTCAAATTTTAGACCAGAAGAACATTTTTACTTCATTATTCATTCTACAAGAAAATTGGAATTCCTTTTTTAATGTTACTAGTTGAAGAAGTGGACTTATTGGAATTTGGAAGAGATGTATTGAAGTTTTGACCACTCATTGTCCTACATATAGTGAAAACATTCAGGCTTATAAACTAGTAGTTATTCTTCATTTCTTCCATACATTTCAGAAAACAGATAAAATAAATTACTGAGAAGAAAAAGAAGAGCTAATATAACAATAGAATTCAAGTGATTAAGCAAGGACACACCAGTATCCTCAGCTATCAATACTATCTGATTCCGAAGTGAAGACAATTTGTCAGCAAGTTCCCTTGGAATTACTCCTTTAAGTGCCCTTTGAAGATCACATTGCACTGGAATTCTGGTTGATGGAACAAAGACCACCACTTCAGGAATGCTTGACTTCTTCTTCCTATACACAGAGTAAGTGCACCCCATTCTTTTGGATGATGAGGATTCCTTTCAAGCATAATATCCTACACAAATCAACCACCCATTTTCACAGCTTAAGTCAATGAAATTGGCAGTGTTCTATAAAACTAAACATTAATGATGATGATATGGGCATGATGAGGTAATGAATGGGAAAAAAGGATGGGACTTAAAATAAGCATAGCTGGCATATTTGACAGCATAAAAGTGCTGGAATTCAGCTTTGTAGAAATGGGTGAGTATTGAAAAACTGCATCTAACCAGAGTTTTCATTATGAGCATTAATTGGGGTGGTGAAATTGCAGGTCAATTAAAAAAAAAAAAAAAAAAAGTTGCACCATCTACATGTGTGGGACAGAAATGACAGTTAATATTAGTAGATTCAAAAGTGGTTGATTCATGAACATTAAAATTAACAAATCCAAATCATGGTGGGGAAAGAAATAAAATAAAATAAAATAAACACAAACACAAGTTGAGAAGTGAGGGAAGAAGAGAATAAATGAGATATTAGAAGAGGAAGTAGTTACTGAATACAGAGAAGAGAGAAGCAGGGAAGGTTCAAGGAGAGGCAGAACATGTTAATATGGTATCTGAGTGAATAAGGAAGCTCAAGAACCGAGACATATCTCACATGGCAATGGCGTAGAAGCCTCTGCTTCGTTTATAGGAGCACGTTCAGTTGTTGTATTTTTTATTTTTATTTTTGTTTTAGTAAACGCTTGACTTAACTAGTCTTAGAACTATAGAGTACTTTTACGATATACTATTATTATTTGCTTGTGTTGATTTATTCATCTTATGAATATGATTGGTTTCGATGGATCAGATCATACGACAAACTATGTTGTAAGAAATGTTATTAAAACCGGTTGGTCCGGTCATTGACCCAGTTGATGTACTGGGTTAGTGGGTCACTGGTTTAATCAGTGGGTCACTGGTTCAATCGCATGACCCGGTAATTATATGTAATTTTATAATTTATATTAAAAAATTATAAACTTACTCAAATATCTAAAAAAATAATAAAAATTTCAAATATTTTAATATAAAAAATAATAAATCACATACTATTATCCAATAAATGATCAAATAAAAATATAATGATCGTGATACGAGGCTTTAAATTCAGAAAATGACATCTCTAACTATAACTCAAATCAAAATTTTCTGCATAATGCACAATTGAGATAATATTAGTGTTGTAGGTACATAACTTACGTAAGTCAATAAGCAAAAAAATATTCAAATATGTCCATTATGATTTTTTTTTTTAAATTTGGAATTTTTTATTTTTTTAGGACCAGGCCGGGTCACCGGTTAACTGACCGAGTCACCGGTTTTCATGAAAACCGGCCGGGTCACACCGGGTCGCAGCGATTCTGATGCATGGCCGGTCCGTTGCTTCAACTGGACCAGTTATATGACCGGTTCCCGAGTCGACTCGGCCGAGTCGGTCCGGTTTTAATAACTATGGTTGTAAGGTCAGTCCTAGGTTAGATATGGAAAGTGTTGGCACGTGGATTCAGGATCAAGGTAGTAGTGGGCCCGGCCATGGACAATTTTGGTGGAAAATATATACAGCCATGAAAATTGATCCTCTCATGTGAAAAAAATATGATATGGTCGTGTGAGAAGATTAGAATCATATAAAGGTGAATCAACGGTTATGATTTTGTAACTATTTATTTTAATATTTTTTCTCTCTCTTCTTTTTTATTATATCCACTTTTGTATGATTATAATTCTCCACGTGACCATGTCATTTTTTTTCCCACACGAGAGGATCCAGATCCATATAACCATACCCATTAGTTCTAGGTTGTGAACATGAGATCATTGCTCCAAAAATAATTTTTAAAAAATTGAGTTCAGAACTTGGGAGGATTGTTCTAAAAATATTGTGTGGAGATGATTTTAATGATCGATGGTTTGATAAGAAAAAAAAAACAGAATAACTAATTAATGTTCCCATCAAGTTAACGAAGACTTAAAAAAGATGGCTAAGTTTAGATCATCATTTGTTTTTCAATAATATTAAAGAAAAATTAGATACACAATTTTTTTTTTTGATACAATGGTGGGAATTGAATACATAATTTAGTAAACTATAAATTACAAATTATTCAAATTCTTCATCGCTAGACCAATCCTAGTAACTTCCATACACAATTATTTTAGTTTAGAACTTGATTTAAGATAATGTGTGTAAAGCACACGAGAGGCACATTAATACTTCGATAAGCTTGGAGAACGGGAGATCTCTTGCCATGATGGGGAGACTATTTGTATACGGACCGATATTCTTATATTGATGTAAAAATAAGAAGTCTTATATCAAATCTTGATCATTACTTTGCTTGTATCTAATAACTCAAATATCTAATAAATTAGAATCATTAGATATAAATAGGATCAACGATCAAGATTAAAAGTATAACTTACATTGATGTAAAATGATCTAACTCTTGCCAACAAAGGTGGGCACAGTTGGCTAAGGGTTTGGTCCATACCCCTCAAGGGCGTGGGTTCAAACTCTGCTGGCCGATGTGAGGACTTTGTTGGTGAGTGATATGTAATCTCTCCCAGAAATCCTCAAAGAGGTTGGGGGGTCTTCCCTGACCCTAGTGGAATACCGGTGTCTAACCCCACTTAAACTTTTAAATACCAAAAAAAATTGATCTAACTTTTTACATGTATATTGATGTATAATGAAGATAAGCGAGCTCTAGCCAGTAGACCTTCCAAAGAGGAATAAAAAAGACTGTTTTCAGGATGGGCAAATTCAAAGCTCCTGGTCCTGATGGTTTAAGTGCTATTTTTTTTCAAAGCCCGTGGCATATAATAGGTAACTCTGTTTGCAAGCTGATTGATGAAATTTTCTGTAATCCAGAGAAGGTGAGGGAGATTAATGGGACTCTGATCTGCTTGATTCCCAAAGAGGAAAGCCCTGAAAATATGAGAGATTTTAGACCCATTAGTCTGTGTAATGTCATTTATAAAGCCATTACCAAAATAATTGTTGAGAGATTGAGGGACCTGATGCCTAGGATTGTATCCCCTAACCAGTGCAGCTTCATTAAGGGCAGGCAAGGTGTGGATAATATAATCATGTCTCAGGAGGTCATTCGCTCCATGCGGGCCAGGAAAGGCAGAAAGGGCTTGATGATGATCAAAGTGGACTTGGAGAAGGCTTATGATCGGCTAAATTGGAGTTTTGTGTTGGAAACTTTGAGGGTCATTGGCTTCCCTGAATCCATATCTCAGCTGATCTATAATTATATATCCACAACTTCTATGAATTTACTTTGGAATGGAATGGTGACTAAAAGTATCCTCCCTGGTAGAGGCATTAAGCAAGGGGATCCCATTTCCCCATACTTATTCGTCCTTTGCATTGAAAGATTGGCTCATCTCATTCACATGGCAGTGGAGACTAAAGCCTGGAAGCCTATTATGCTAAGGAAGAATGCTCCACCTATTTCTCATCTGTTCTTTGCTGATGACATCATCTTGTATGCTGAAGCTAGTTTGGACCAAGCCCATGTAATTAACCAGGTTTTAAAAGTGTTTGCTGAAGCTTCAGGACAAAAAGTGAGCACTGATAAAAATAGAGTGTAATTCTCTAAAAATGTGAGTCTCGGGAGGGCTAGGGAGATTAGTAATTCCCTTGGTATAGGGATTACTTTTGACCTTGGTAAGTACCTTGGGATTCCCCTATTTCATAAAAAAGTAACAAAAAACTCTTTCAGGTATGTGTTGGAAAGGGTGCAGGGTAGACTTTCCTCTTGGAACCAGAAGTGCTTGTCTCTAGCTGGGAGTAACACACTAGCCAAATCAGTGCTAGAAGACATGCCTGCCTACTCCATGCAAACAGCTGTTATCCCTGTTGGTGTGTGCAATGAGGTGGAGAAGGAAACTAGGGGCTTTATAAACCCTTGTTCAAAGGAAAACTCATTTGGTGAGTTGGAAGAAACTGTGTCGTCCTAAGAAAGATGGAGGTTTGGGGTTCAGAGATCAAAAGTTGGTTAACAAGTCCTTCTCCATGAAGCTTGGCTTTGGGCTATTATCAAATAAAGATGACCTCTGGGTAAAGGTCATTCGCAGCAAATATAAGATGGAAGATACTCACAGTGCTCAACTGAGAAATAGCAGGAACGGATCCAACATCTGGAAAAGTATTCAGAAAGTCTGGGATCTGTTCTAGAGGGATCTAGATTCATTCTCGGTAACGGGTCCAATACAGCATTCTGGTTTGACAGTTGGATTCCCAATGGTGGGAGACTCATGGACTATTCTTCAACTAACATTCCTGATGAGGCAAAGAATTGGAAGGTGGCTGATTGTGTAGTTGAGGGGAACTGGGACTGGAGTAAAGTCAATCATTTACTTTCTGATGAGGCTTTGCAGGTTCTGGAAAGTATGAGCCCTCCTACCAGTACGGATGAACAGGATAAGGTAATTTGGTGCCATTCAAACACAGACAACTACCTCTCATCCCATTGTGGAAATCCTTTACCCAAGGATTGGAACTTGGTGTGGAAATGGGAAGGTCCTCAAAGGGTAAAAATTTTTCTCTGGCTTTTGGTTGGGAATAAACTTCTCAACAATGCTGAAAGGGTTCGTAGGCACATGACAGTGATTGATTCTTGTCCTAGATGTCATCTGCCAATGGAAGATAATGACCATATTTTTAGAAGGTGCTTCTGGGCCCATGAGGTGTGGAACCTGTGGGTTGACAACAAGGATTTAGAGTCCTTTCTACTCATTGACTGGGAAAGATGGCTGGAAAGTAATCTTCACAGAAGCAATAAGAACTCGGAGTGGAGGCTGAAGTTTGGCGTGGTTTGTTGGCTAATATGGAAGGATAGAAATAGCCTGGTTTTTAATGGAAAAGCCTCTAATTCGCAAGATATTTTTTCTCAGGCTTCTCTCTTTGTGTCTAATATTAAGGTAGCAAATGATGTCCTTGCAGGTTCTGGGCTAGCTTAAGGAAGATACGAAGAGATCTTGATCAACTGGAGGTCCCCACCAGCTGGCTGGATCAAAATTAATACGGATGGTTCTTATGCAGGCAATGGTTCAAGAGTTGCTTGTGGAGGGGTTATAAGAGATGAGGTGGGGAGCTGGATCAAAGGTTTCTACAAGAAGTTGAGTAATGAAACAACCTTAATGACTGAAATCTGGGGCTTCATCATAGGCTTAGATTGGGCTTGGGAGAATGAGAGAAGACAGATTTTGTTAGAAGGTGATTCCATGTTGGCTATCCATCTTGTTAAAGAGGGTTGTGTTAGCTCACACCCTTGCTATTCTCTTGTGAACAGAGTCAGATTATTGATGGCTAGACACTGGAATGTGAAATTATGCTACATCTATAGAGAAGGTAATCAAGTAGCAGACTGACTTGCTATTAATAGTTTTTCGTCTAGTTGGGATACCCTGTGGTTAGATAGTGTTCTTGATGGCTGTAGGGACTTAGTGTTGAAGGATGCTATGGGCACCGCATGGCCCAAGAGTGTTTGTGTGTAGTGCATTTGTTTCTTTCCTCTTTATACAAAAAAAAGAAAGGAGGAGGAAGATGATAGTGAATTCCTCTTTTACCCTTTGTTATGAGTAAAGACTATCAAGAATCATTAAAAGCCCATGA